AAAAATGTATAAATCTGATAATCACAAGTATATAAATAAATTATCCAGTCTCATAGGGGAATACAATAGACTATTTAAAATTAACTTTGTCTTTACCAGCATGGGTAATTCTCAAAAATACAGAATGAAAAAGTGGGTTACAAAATAGCATACAGAGTATAATAAAATTATGGAAAGTTTTGAAATGCTCAAAACAATATACTGCCTACAGTGTTAGAATATACTGCTTAGGGATAAATTTGCATGTAGCAAAAGTATAAAAACATCAATGGGGGGCTCACACCTGTAATCCCAGCACTTTGGGAATCTAAGGCAGGAGGATCATTTGAGGCCAGCAAGAGGAGCTAGAGCTATTGGGAGACCCCGTCTCTACAAAAAATAAGAAAAATTAGCCAGACCTGGTGGCATGTACCTATAGTCCCAGCTACTTAGGAGGCTGATGCAGGAAGATTGCTTGAACCCAGGAGTTTGAGGATACAGTGAGCTATGATTATGCCACTGCATTCCAGCCTGGGTGACTCTGTTGCAAAAAAAAAAAAAAAAAAAAAATTAGTGGATTGAGTACACACTAATTTCAGGATAATGGTTGACCCTATTACAGAAAAGAGAACGAAATGGGATCAAGGAAAAGAATGTCAGTAATCTGCCAATATGGCCCAAAGTTAATCTTTGTTAAATATAGGGGAGGGATATGTAGATGTTTGGTAGATTATTCTCTTTTCAATGTTTGAAATTTCATTAAATAAATTTTTAAAAAATAAAAGGAAATAAATAAGGCCTTTGGGTTTGAATGTCTTATGTGTAACTTTGAAAAGAAATGCCAACCAAATATATGGTAACTATCTTAATTTGAATTCCTTTAGTTTTTATCTCAACTCATTAAATATATAAGTGAAAGGGTTTGAAACTATGGTGTCAGGTTCACCTGGAATAGAGGCCAGGATTCTTCACTCACCAATTGGTTGACCTTGACCAAGTCACTTAGTTCTCATTAACTCAGTTTCCTCATTTATAAAGTGGGTTTTGTAATTTTAGCTACTGAATAAATTTGTTGTGAGGAATAAATGAGAAACTACATGTTAAGTGCTAAAATAGTGCTGACACATAGTAAGCACTTGTTAAATTTTAGTTATAATTGCTTTGTTAATCTAATGAATTATTTGAATTTATACATTTTTCAAAATTTTGATAAATGTTTCCATTGTTTCTCCTAAAATTATTTTTGAATCCTAGTCAAAGATTCCAGTTTGCTAATGAGTGCTTGTCAACTTTAAGGATGCAGAGTTTAGCTACAGCAAATTCAGGGATCTTTTTGTAAATTTTTAAAAAATAAAAATAAAAGCTTTAGAGAGATGCTTCCTATGTTGGTGCTCATGTAAATTCTGAGGAAATTAAACATTTTCTACTATATAGGCTATCTTGAATAAAGAATAAAAAGTGAACACATTCTTAGCATGATTCATGATTCTTTAACCTAAAATATACACAGGCACACATTAATTATTCATTTATTTATTCTTGGCTATTTTATGTTCTTGATCATCTTCTACTTCTAGAAAAATTAGAGTATTTATTATGGTTTTTAAAAAGTTCAAAATAGAGATATAGCCTACTCTTTACAGCCTCTTCTTACCTTGGTTCAGGAGAATAAAAAGGAACCAAGTATGTAATAACCTGTGCTCACTTCTCAATGTTTTAATGCCTGTGGTTTTTCATGGCTAATGGAGTGGCTGTAAGTAAGTCAGGTATTTGTCAGTATTCATCACCATGAATCTATCTCCTTTGCTAAATTTGGCTAGGTGAAAATTTTTCTGAAAATAGCAATTTATAAGTGGGTTTTTAAAATCTTGTTCTTATTACTTAAAGCCAAGCTGGTTATAAATTTTAAACAAGTAGGTAAAATAAATCTTTGTTTAATTTGTATTCTCCTTCCTAACAGTATAACATTCAGGCTTATCCAACAACAGTGGTATTCAACCAGTCCAACATTCATGAGTATGAAGGACATCACTCTGCTGAACAGATCTTGGAGTTTATAGAGGTATTTCAAATTACAGACTGTGGCTAAAAATACTTCTGTTTATATGTGTACTCTATTGTATAGGAAATCCAATGACAGGAACATGTTAAGTGACACCATAGACGTGCAATCTGCAAATTCCAGCATGTGGAGAACTATGCAGGACAGACACCCAGCTTATTGGACAAATATATTGTAGGGAACAGGGGAGAAGAGATTAAAGAGACTTAAAAGACATCAGTCAAGTACTATGTTTAGGCCTTCTTTGGATGCAGTTCATACAAAAAGTGCAAAAAAAAAAGATAGTGGGAAAAATGTGAACACTGACCAGATATCTAATAATTTCAAGGAATTATTGTTAATTTTTAGATGTGCAAATAATACTGTGGTTATATTGAGGGAAAGTCCTTAAATTTTAAATATACTGAAATATTTGTGGATGAAATGGTATATCATCTCGAATTTCCTTTAAAATTGTCTTTGGGGTAGGAGTAGAATAGATGAAATAAGAGTAGCCATG